TATTAACTTTAACACTAGCCAATGTCAACGGCATCCCCTTGCCAGCATTTTCCTCGGCTTCAGTTATTGATTCGGATGCGAAATTTATGTGGTCGAAGGACCTCAACCCTGGACTTTGTGTCCAGCGAACTATTAACTTTGAATCTCCTTTCACGTGAGAGTAAATTGCAGTGTTTATGTTATTGTCTGATCCCTGATTCGGAATCCGTGTCTGTCAATGCTCAGCCAGGAATTGCATTAGGGAACATTTATTATTTATGCTAATGTCTGGGAAGTTCTGTCATGGTCTAAAAAAAAGGAAGGTGATTAAAGTGCGGCAAATAGAATAGGCAAACTATTCCTTGAGGAAAATCAAACTCAAATTACCATATCTCTGCCCTTTTCAAACAACCATTGAGACTTTCTCTGAAGTGTACGTTTGTTATAGACAGTCGAACATCTGTAAACGGAACTGAAGTCTAGTAAACTAAATATTGTAGTTCTTTTAAAAATGTATTTTATAAAGGTATACCTTTTTATAGGTTTATTATTTTATCGGAAATATTGCCTTATAAGCAACAAGAATTAAAAACTATTTTAAAATTTGTGAGTTGAATAAGGTTAATTTTTGTCATGATCAAGAGCTCACATATCTTTAGCTAAAAAATTTGGTTAATAAATTAAAAATAATTAATTTATTATGTACTTTATAAATTCATATGATATTAAGATCTTAATAATATTAAAAAATATATGTTCATTTGAAAGTTGTTCTTAAATATAAAAATTATTTTTAATGCATAGTTTTAAAATTTTTTCCAGTAATATTAAGTGCTCCAGAAAATTCTTCTTTAAGAAGCCCGACTGTGTGTTTGTATATTCATGAGCGAATCAGCAGCAAAACTACAATTATTGTGCACTTTGGGAAGGCAGAGAAAGCCGGCTTAATGACCGGGGCCTTGACCCCAGAACAGCAGTTGTTTCCCCGGCAGGCCTTCGGCAGGAATTGCGTACTAAATGCGCTAAATTACTAACTAAATGCCGCAAGTGCCGCCCCTGGGCATGGCTAGAATTTCACAAATGAACGCCCTTTTCAGGGGAGGGGTGGTTTAGTGGGGGTGGAAAATGTCCAGAGGGGTGTTTCTTTTTTTTTTTTTTGGGCTAATACCAAAGCCGAAAAACTGAAGTCAAAGCGAAAGCGAAAGCCAAAAACTGCCGACAGTCGATGACATTTGAGCGATAAGAGAAACTGTTGTGTGGCTTACTTGGTAGCTCCCCCAGCGATTTTCTATATGGGAATGGGATAGAAGTGGCCGGGGGGGTCAGAGGTCGAGGGCAAATGTGCTGCTCCTTGTGGTTGTTGCTGGCCTTAAGTATGCAGGCGTGTGAATTGTTAAGAAGGAAATATACAAATAGTAAATGCTCCCCGTCTTTTGCAGGCATTTTTACAGTTGCTTTTTACAACATTGAAAATTGTTTTAAATGTTAATGTTGATGCTGTGGGGCTGATAATAAAATCGGTAAGGTCGGGGAAAGTCGGGAAAGTGTGGGAGTGGGGTGCCAAAGTCAACAAATAATTGAGATGTTTGGCACCAGCGGGGGGATGAGTGTTCTAAGTGTCGTCACACACGCTTCTACTCAGCACCACCGCCCCCCATTTTCCACCCATTTTCCAACCATTTTCCACCCACTTTTTCCTGTTCCCCGGTGGTTGAGAGTCAGCTGTGAAGAGTGAGAGTCGCGCACTTGTGTTAAATTATGCGGGTTTGATTTTTATTGCACTGCCGCTCATTTCTTTTTTCCCTTTGCCGTTTGTTTTCCTTGCCTTGGTTTCCTTTGTTTTATAGGTTTTCCCCGAAGTGGGCTGGCTCATCCCCAAACCAAAAATCAAAATCATCTCGAATGTATAAACAAGTTGGAGGACCGAAGTGGAGTGACGAGCACGCGTGTGTGTGCGGCTGTAATTTGGTCATGCCTCGTTGCCCCAACGAGCTGTTGCTTGGCATTTCAATTAATGGCACTTGCCACCCTCGTTGTATCTCCCACCCCATCGCAAGCCAACCCACTCCGCCACTGCCCTCCAAGGGGTCATCTCTTCCGCCGCTGCACTCCTAATGAAGCCATCGCCAGCTCCAGTTTCAGCTGAGATCCACAACTCCACAAACTCCCCCAGCAAAAATGAAGGTCTTCCCACTTTTGGGCTGCTGTTAACAGGAGATGAGATATATCACTACACCAAATGAAATACTATATCATTTTATGTAGTATTAATTCTTATTAAGGGATCTTTCCCTTGAAATTGTTTTTAATAGCAAATAAGCTTTTGGGTTGCTGTTAACAGGAGACGACATATATCACTATTTTAAAAGAAATACATTTTTATTTTATGTAGTATTAATATGATCTCTTAAAATTGTTCTTAATAAGTTTTTTCTTTTAATTAAATATTAATAAAATACCGAATACTATATATTTTATACTATACCCACTGTATTCAAATTTTGTATCTGTTAAATTGATCTTAAGCTATTTATTAAAGTTATGACTTTTTTAAAGATGGGACAAGCAAAATAAAACATTAAACTTAATTTCAGAGAAAAAATATTATGTATCTAAGTTTAGGTTTAGTTCTTTATTTTTAATAAAAAATTGCTTAACAATTAATTAAATTAAATTAAGAGCCAGCTAAGTTTAAATTGCAAATTCATTGAAATTTACTTTAAGCTTAATGCTAACTTATGTAATTGACAAATTAAATTGATATCACCTCTACCCGTAGGTAAAAATATTCCTCATATTTCGGTATTATGGCTGTTATAAAACCTAAGACAATTTTATCTGGTTTCTTCCAGTGCACCATTGCAACTCCGCGATGACACGTGACCACAGGGACATTTGTTGAGCCTGAATATGCCGCATAGCACGTCTTAATAGATTTTTGATTTGTTTGCTCACCCTCAACCCAAGACCCAACCTCCCCTAGTCCGTTCCCGTATCCATAACCGAATCCGAATCCAATTGCGAGCCGCGCGTGCGTCTCTGATTGGAATAATGATTCCGCAAACGAAGCTAGAACATAAACCAGAGTCAGATTTTTCGAATTTTTGGGGAGTATTGTGATTGTCTATATGGAAAATCAATAAGGAGTGTTTACCCATTGTCTTGCTACTATCTTTCGGTTAAAAAAGCCTGGTAACTGGCAACTCAATGAAGAAATCACGCGAAAAAAGGGCAGCAACTAGGTGAATTTGAATGCTCAAGGCCCCGAAAACAGAGATTAAAAGCGAGACCTGAAAGTTTGTCTCTTCTTCATTTCCGGCGATGAAAATGTAAAATTGGGATGGGAATTTTGGGACGGTATTGGGCAACATTTTACAAATTGTTTCAATTAAAAAGTTTACTGATTTTGCTTTTTCGCCTTTTACTTTATCTATAATCGGCTTGCGATTGACACGTGCCCTCCACCATACGCCACGCCCCCTCCTCGCCCAGATCTATCGGCTATCGAATGGAAGTAATCGCTTTTTGGGGCGCTAATTGCGGAGACCTTGGTTTTTGGGGTATTTATAAGTCCGCAAGTTGATTGCATAATACTTTGGGCAGTGGGCCAGTCGTAAGCTGGGAAAGCCAAAAGCTGGGCCAATTAATTAAATATAATCAGCTGGAAAAAAAGTTGGGGTCAGTCGGCAAAAATATATTTCACAGTCGCTAATTAATTTAATTGATTTAAATGCTTCGGCTTGACCAATCGCATGGGGGGGGGGGGGGGGGGGGATTCAGTTGGGACTATCGAGTGCATTTGATCTGTTTGTTTGTTCAAAATTAAATTGACTTGTAATTAAAAGTTTCGCAATTGATTGAAATTCTCGTGTGTGCTTTTCCTTTGTTCGAGGGTGGGTGTGACGAGTCCCGGCACAAAAAAAGCGCCGATGGGAAAAAACGGCTAATTACGAGCATTAATTAAAAATGCATTTTTTTGTTGGTCAATTGAACTTTAGGGAGCTAAGGACGGAAGCAATCTTTAGGAAGGACATTTTCTCTTTATCCTTAGTTCGTATAAGAGAGTGTGGAACTCTTATACGGCATCTTAACTGACCTACGCCATGGTATATTTGCTTGCTTTTTCTCATTGTAAGATTGTTTAAGATATTTCTTAGGACCAGGCTTAATTTAGGATTTATTGATAGATTTAATACAACTTTCAATGCATTTTCTCTTTTTTTTATTGGGTGTAGTACGGATACTTGCTTTTAAATGTACCTCAGGGAGGAGTAACCATTTCCTACAAATTATAACTAGTGTTAAAAATATAATATCATGGTAAAATTTAAATATTTTTGGGCATAGCCTTACCATACTTGTTTATATATTTCGTTATAGCTTGTATAAATATTAATACGTTAGGCAAGTATTATTTCCATTGACAAAATATATCATTAAGTGGTAATGACCAAAAAATAATGATATACATTTTACCTGGTGAGCAATATATTTCATCTACATACTTTATTAAACGAAAACCAATATACACATATTGAAAATATTGTTAAGTTCCTATTGCCAAAAAATATTTTATAATCCTTGATGATAAATCAAATAAAATAAATCGATGTGAACTTTCGAAATGTAATGTAATTACTGAGCGGGTAAATTAAATATAAAATAAAATCCATATCATTCAATTTGTGAAAATTGTTGAAAGGGGCACGGCACATGTGAAAATTAGCAAACAAAAATAAAGAATTACTTACAAATACTTCGATGCAGATGCAATAACGATTGACTGACTGGCAATGCACTTGCAATAAACAAACAAAGAGTCTTAATAGCTCCACTCCAAAGTTGCCTGGCAATTTCGTGCTCCAATAACCCGGCTGAAGAGAGGCCCTTGGATGCGAAGCTCTCTTCTCTTAGCCCTAAAAGCCGAACTGGGCCGAATATGCCGAAGTTAACCGATGGCAAAGCATTCGTCATATGGCACTGGCATCACGACCTCCGATTACCAGTCAGTTCAATCCTGCGACTCGAAAGCGAAGCACGCGTTTCTTGATTTATGTGCGCGAGTTCTAGATAGTCCAGATATTCTCAGACATATTGTTGTGAGGAGGGCTCTGTGAAACCGGGCCTAATGAGTCCACAGGCCTGCGTGTTAATGGCGAATTAATGACGGGCGATTAAAATGCAATAGCCACATGTACAGGCGCCATAATGAGCTGAACCAACCGACATAGTACAGTGAACCAGTGCCATAAATTAGAGTGCCCTGTGTAAGTGTTGCCTACTTAGCGGCTTTTGGGCTTACGATCTGTTTCAAGTGTTCGGGCTCTGAGACCGTTAAAACCTTTTTCAACCGCCCTACCCCGATGTAAAGTTCTTGTGTAAAACTCAATACGAAGGAGATTAAAAAACAAAATGGGGGCCATCTGCAAAAAAGGGAAACTCTCAGTGAAAATGAACCAAAAATAGGGCCAAACAGAGAAAACACTTTCATTGCTCCCCAGGCAGAGCTTAGCCGAGAGTTTTGTCCGGCTCTAATTTGACGGAATCGTTAGTTGACCAGTGAGCAGCAGTCCTCATCCTGGTCCAACCCCCCGGATTCCCAATCCGAATCCGGATCGCGTGCCGACTACAAGCGTAATAACAATAAACTTGCGGATAACAACCACAGATACAGCAGCAAAATGTCCCTGCCATCCAGAGCCAATTTCGGATTACTCAACTGGCTCATCGGCTGGCTGCTGCTGCTGTCGATGGTCCTGCTCAGAGGTGAGTCGACGCGGCGGGCTTTTTAATTAAATAATCCAATTTATTTTCATTTAATTTCTAATTAAATTTAATTTGTTTGCGCCAAGCGCTGGCTGGCCCCACTAATTGCCCCGACCCAATGAATCCCTTCCTCCTTTTTTTCAAAGGCTTTCCTTTGTCGCCTAGGATTTCCCGTCTAATTTCCGGGAAAACAAGAAGAAAGGGGAACGCGGAATGCGAATTGAAATTCTTTAATTTTTGTGCTAAGAATTTTAATTCCGCTACAGAGTCGGAAAAGTTTCCCCTTTTGTCTCTGTTTGCCTTGGCTCAAGTCAAAAGGTGAAAGCATTTAATGTCCATCTGTGTGTGACCCCCAAAATGTGTGGAACCCACAAGCGTTCTAGCTAAATGAAAGCTTGTACAGAGCAAGAAAAACAATTGCTCTCCGTTTGTTTTTAGATTGTTTAGCAAAAATGTGGGGACGCATATGGCATTTTTCGAATTTACTTATTTGGATTTGCCTTGCACACGATTAAGTTTTCTAAACTGGATTTGTTTATATAATTATTAACAGAGTCATATGCAGATGTGATTTAATATGTTCAATTTTGTGCTTATATTGCGTTCAATTTTCACAACCATGTATATAAAAATGTATGTCTTAGATGTATATCTTAATTTTATTTAATATGATCTTAACTTTTTTGATTTATTTTACACTTACATTTTTACCAAGTTATATTTTCAATATTTATTTAAAATTAGATCCCATCGTATTTTTGAAGATATTTGTATTTTTTTAGATAGAAATAAAGGCCAGATGTACAGAAGTATAAATATTTAAGGCCTATATTGCATTTAATTTTCACAACCATATAGAAACGAAGGTACATTTTAAAAGTAAGTTCGAATTATATTTTTACTAAGTCCTGTTTCCAATATTTATTTAATATCAGATCCCTTTGTAATTTTTAAAGATTTCTTAAATAAAAATAAAGGCCAGATGTACAGATGTATAAATGTTTTCGGTTTAACGCTTATATTGCGTTTTAATTTCACAACCATATAGACATGTAGGCATACTTTCAAAGTAAGTTTAACTTACATTTTTAGGCAGTTATATTTTTTAATTGTATTTTATAACAGAAAAGATAGCATTATTATATTATAAGATTTTTCTATTTTATACACAGTAATGTTTACAAATTTAAAAAGCGATGACCTTATGACATTTTTGATAATATGATAATAGGGCTGTACTTACCTCTGCTAAAGTTTATAAGTATCCCTTTTAAATCAAACACTTAAATGCCCAAGTGTTCTTCAATCAAGGGCTATTAAGTTAAATACAGATATGGTTTTATTTTCCGTGCAGCATGACCCCGTCCTAGCCAGAGTCCCAGTGTTTGGTCCTAGTCCTAGTTTCGCAGCCATCAAGGTTGGTCCAGGGACCATTTGAAGGGCCGGAGGATGAATGGCGAACCGCAGAGTGCGGCTGCCACATGCAACGTGTGAGCCAGCGAGTGTGGGCTGGGCAAACAGTTTTATATAATAGTTTGCAACACTGGGGCAGAAGTCTCACTTTCAATGCATCAAATGAGAAGCACGCACATGGGAAGCCGCCGCCGCGTTGCACAGATAGAAATGTGGCGGAATAAAAAGTAAATCTAAAAAAATAACAAATACTAACGAGCATCAGACACTTGGCAAATGCTGTTGAAGCTTGGTCAGGGCCAAAATGCTGCTGGCTGCAGTTGCTGTGGATGTTGCAGCTGCTGCTGCTGCGTTGCATGTGGCATGTTGCAGTTGACACACGAAACTATTGCCATTGGGCTTGGCTTTTTGGGTTTTTAGTTTCTGGTTTTAGCTGTCTGTTTGCTGGTTTTTCAGCTTTCAGCTTTCAATTTTCTACTTTCCTTTTCCAGTCGCCGTTTGTCATCTTTGAAAACAGTAAATTGCATTTTTATACAATTTTCTATCATTTGCCTTGGCAGTTGTTCGTCTGGGCTTTGTAATTTTCAAATGAAATACTTTCCGAATGCAATTCACTTTTGCGCAAATTGTTTCCCCCGCCTTGGCTTCCTTTGCCTTCGCCTTCTATCCGCCTATTTTGTTTTCCCCCTGGCATCTGTCTGGCCATTTCATTTGGCTAAAAGCTACTTGAAGTTGGTTAAGCGCAGACAAACAGAAATTACTCAACTTGGCAATTGCAGAACCTGCGAAATGGCAAGCCATCACATAAGATTTCTATTGCATTACTGGGCCAAGAATGTTCTTAAGGATACGGTTTGTCTTTGTTTTTGTTTTAGACAAACATGGCAGTTATTACAAGCATTGATGAGGATTAATATTGCAATTAAAATTATTGTATGCTTATGACATTCAAATAACAAGGATTTTAATAATAATATGCAAGGCAGATAGTTGCCAAAGGTGTTTAACTGCGTTACACAAGAAACATATTATTGCAAAATATTATAAACGTCAATGGCTTTGTCAAAAAAGATGTGTTAAGTATTTGAGGTAGAATGAATTATAGAATAACAAAAATCAAAATATTTTAACATTTGACAATTTATAAAGCCAGATGCTTTTTAAAAATAAGATATTTCAAGATTTTATATTTGACAGCTTTGACAACTAGACTTTGGACTATTATTTTAATATAAAAAATGTAATTTGCATACTCCAGGATTGTTGTCAGCAAAAGGAAAATGCATATGCAATTTTTTCGCCACATATTTTTGGAACATTTCTGTGTTATTTGATTCTTTTTCTCAATTTAATTGACAGGGAAATTCTCGATAAATGCACGCGCACATATTTCCATAATGAATTCATAAAACTCTCGATCGTGTCCTTTCGCGGTCTCGTGTTATTTGGTTTGCTGGTTTATTAATAAATAAATTTTGCCCTTGCGGTTTGCCCGTTTTTGTATGCAAAATTGCAGTTATTTGCACAGCTGTTTGCCATTTAAGGCAAACAAACGGTTTTGCCCTTTTTTCGCCACATAGCGCTCCCATGTGCCATATTAAGTATTTTTGTAAATATTTTTCGTGTCGCAAAAAGGGAAAAATTACTGAATGAACGAGAAAAAAAAACAAGGATAATAGCTGACGTGATTTTCCGTTGAGTCCAGTTAATGCAGAAGTTATGCGGATTGTGGGGTGGCAGAAGATAGCAAAAAAATCATTGATTGTGGAGTGATTGGGAGGGAATATCATTCAGCGGTGACGGACTGATGAATGAACCCATGCATTGGCCCAGACAAATGCCTAGTAGAACGCCATACCCAACCAAAACCATCCATTTCCAACCGATGAATCCTGCGAAGGCGCCTTGAAGTATGCAAAGCACATACTCAAGGGTTCGCAGAATCTATTTGCCGGCGGGTCCAGGTTATTCACACAAGCCTCGGGGAAAAACCCTGCGGCTTCTTCAAGGCCAACACACATTGTCAAAAGGGGCCGTAGGCAGCACACCCCATTTCCTACTCAAATTTTTATATACTTTTATGCTTACAAAAATATACATATTTTTTTTTTATTTCCAAAAGCTGCTTGAAAAAACAAACTTTGTCTGTTGTTGATTTTAATGGCATATGGCTTCACAAGAATTTGTGATGAATGTGTGGCTAAAAGTTCAACCGGAAGGGCTCCAGACTATATTTTGCATAAGGAGTTTGGAGAGCAGCTCAAAGGGTGTCATTAATCATTTAATTGACAATGGGTTTCATTTTGGGATGTTCAAAGGTTTGGGCAAGATGATTTTATAGTGTGAAAGCCAGTTATTGAAGTTGTTAGCGGAAGCCAAAATAAAATCACTTCTTTTCAATTACATAAAAAATACTTTGAAATATTAACGAAAAAATTTCCATCACTGGGATTTGTTTAAGAAAAATAAATATTTCAATTCTATTTCTGAATAAATTGAAATTGATATTTGCTCGCATGGAATTTTTCTAGAAAAATAGCGATGGATTGGAATTCCTATTTGTTCTCATGTACAATATTTGAGAGAATATATTAAACACTCAAAATACAGCACTTTATCAAATAAAATATAGATGTATTTTATAAATGTTAAAATGTTTGAGTTCTAGATAGTTGCGTTGCAGTTTAATGAATGTCTTGGAATAATTATAAAGAAATATTTATTTATATTCAATCCATATGCTTTAAGAAGTATACCTTTATACTCCTGGGATCTCTTTGGTTGCCAAGAAAGTTTCAGTAGTCAAGAGAGGACGTTAAGTACTGTCAAATAGTTTCTTAATTAAACTGCTGCTGCAAAGTTTCTCGCACTCAAAAGATGAAAAGTTACGCAAGTCGCTGACAAGGAAAGTATGAGTATATATGTTTTTTTTAGGCAAATCCGCAGCTTTTCTTATTATGGTTCCGTTTCTAGGCAGGTCAAACCGCCAACGTTATTTTTTTTTTACCGTTGCCTACGTAACACTTATGGATTTGACATTTATATGACAGCCAAGGTTTTTGTGCTGGCAAGGTTGTTGTTGCCGTTTCTTATCCTCCGGCCCCTTGAGTGTGTGCTTTGTTGTTTTTAGGTTTTCGTCAGGAAAAATATATAAATGAAAATTGTTTATATTTTTCCTCAACGGGAGTGGTGGGGGTTTTTTTTTTGGGATAGGGGCCGGAGTTCATGTGTGCCTGTGCGTAAATACATATATGGGCATTATTTTTTGATTCACTTGGCAGAGCGCTTTCTTGCAAAATTCAACTATTTCGGTCACGTAATTTTCGAGCAGAATAGAGAGGAGAAAACTGAAAGAGCCCAGAAAGAGGAAAATTTATGCATTTGATTTCAACTAATTTTCAGAGTCCGAGCATGGCTGCGAATTGTTTTGTTTATTGTTGGCCAAATTAAATGCTGACATAAATTAGCTGAAACTAGAGTGGTTTTCCCATCTTTTCGGCATGTTTTTACGACCGCCAAACAGCCTTGAGCGAAAAGAGAAGACTACCAGGCTATTAAAAAGCACTCCACCATCGAAAACTCTTTGG